CATCTAAAATTCTTAAAAATGTCATTATACAAAAATACTAAGAAAACTAATGTTAATTGCAGGTTAATGTCAATGATAAAGCAATTTTTGTTATTTATAAATTCAATAGATAATTAGATGTATAAGAGACATTTCAGGAATTGTAGCTGGTGGTCATAATATAAACGACCTACGTTGTGCTTCTTCTTTTTCTTTTTCTGCGTTCGACATCAGTCATGCTAAACATTGAGTCCTGTCTGGGTCACAAATAGGATTGTGCGTTTAAGGTCGCCACCGGTCCCCCATAGCTTCTTTTGCAATGTGGCTCCCTTAAGCCAGATCCACAGTCTTTGCTGGGAGAGGTAAGGGCAGTACCGTAGTATGTGTTCAGGGGTTTGTCTTTCTGCTCCACAATCACAGGCAGCAGATTCTTTTATGCCTATCCTGTACAAGTGTGCTCGAAGACCACAGTGTCCAGTCCGAAGTCTAAAAATTAATGTTTGTTCTTTCCTGGTGAGTTTGTTTATGCTGTCACTCTCTGGTCTGTAATCTCCATTCTGCCTTCTCCACTCCCGCTTGAAAGACTGCTTTAGCGCTGTTTTGGTTTCCTTGTAGCTTGTAGCTGTGTGGTGGATGAGGTTGTGGAAGATTACTCCCAGCTTTTGCCAACTCATCTGCTCTCTTATTTCCTTGAATACCACAGTGGGCTGGTATCCACTGCAAGACCACTTCTGCTTCCTTGGAGAGTAAGCCAATGTTGGTCCTTAGATCAGCAATTAGTTTGTCTTGTTTTCTGCTGGATAGTGCTTGCAGAGAGGAGGGCAGTTGCCTCAGCTCTGAAGTTAGTGCAGATGTCACCTGCTGGTAGAGAGAGTTTCTGCTCTACTGCTAGGGGGTTTAATGTAAATTCCACAACCCCCCTTTCTGACTGCATCTGTAGCAGAGCCGTCGGTCAAAAACCTGAGTCCAAGTGGTGTTTGGATACTTCTCATCAAGCATAGCAAGAGCCAGGGTTCTCTGTTGTGTCTCCGTTCTGGGCATCCTCTTTTGAAGTGATTCCTGGAACCTTTAGGACTACATTTGCTTTTATCTCTGGCTTTGCTTGTCCATGTTCTGGCCTAAGTTTTTTCGCACAGTGCAACATCTCTTTCAAGTAGATCTTGGTGCTGTCTGTACAGTTCTCTAGCAAGGTGGTTGGGGCTCTGACGCTTCAGTCTGTTTTTTTTTTTTTTTTTGGTTCTCTCTTGAAATTTAAAATGCAGTGGGTGACTTTAAAGTCTTTTTAATTTATCATACTGTATAAGAGTTTGTATTGTCTTCTGAGTTGGAGTGGTTCAGTATCTGCTATCTTTTCTATTTCTCTGATGGGGGTGGTTTTCATGGCTCCGAGAACAATCCTTAATCCCATATTCTGAACCTTGTCCAGTTTTCCTAATGTTATCTTGGCTGCTGCAGCCCATGCAGTGGAGGCATATTCCATGACTGGCCTGACTGCTCCAGTATATACTTGTTTTAGGATTCTAGAGTTGGCGCCCCATGGTGTACCCGCTAATGTTTTCATCACTGCAAGCTTCTTGAATGCTTTTCCCTGTACTGCTTCTACATGTGACCTCCAAGTTAGTCGCGAATCCAGTGTAACACCCAGAAAGGTAGGAGTGTCAGACTGTGGAATGAGCTGGTTTTTAATCCAAATTTCTATTTTTTTCTTTTTTGGGGGAGAGAGAGAAAAGTGATGCTGTGCTTTTTGAATTATTTAGCTTTAGACCCCACTTTTCGGTCCAAGCTTCTACATTTTCCACAGTTCTCTGTAACAGATATGAGGCTGTGGTAGTGTATTCGGAGGCTGTCCAAACTGCAAAGTCATCGGCATGTAGGGTATTACTACGTTGTGCTGATGGCACCCTCTTGCCAGCGACAAGTCAGAAAGAGAATGTATGGATATGGTGGTGGTAGTAAATGAAAGAGTGGACACGAGCTTGAATAATGCAAAGAAAGAAGTAGTAGTGATATCAAAAGAAAAGAAATTTTGAATAATATGCCTGCGAATCATGGACAATTAATAAACAAGGCAATTTCTTGAAGCTTAGACATATGATTTTACAGAATGGTTTTGCAAATATGGTTTCACATAATGGTTTTATAGAAGCATCCTTTAACTCTGTGAACAGCTAAAAAGAGCAGCTCATAAATTTTGAAAGAGGCGAGGCCTAAAGAGCTTATCACAAATAAAGAAAAAGTCAACAAGTAACTTGACGAGACGAAAGAAACTGGAAACATGTGACCACAGAAAAGATCTGTGGTGGTTGAGTTGGGGAAGGGGGAGGGAAGGGAGTAGACATGAAGAGTTTCATAAACTGCACTTAATATTTACATATACAACAGTCAATAGTGATTTTACGACTGTTTGCTCTGTAACTTATGGGTCTACTGACAATGTTTAGTTCAGTAATGTACTTCAGAGTTGCCTATTTGTCTGTACCACTTTTAATATATGTCAGCATCTTACAATATCTAATCCTGACCTTTTGTAACGGTCTACCCACTCAACTCAAAAGCTGCAGCATCTGCTCTCCTGGTTTTTAAGTTCTAAGAGATACGGTTCTTTTTGGCTCCGTTTCTGAGTTCTTTTCTACTATTCTGTTTCATTATACACATAATATCTGTTTCATTTCTCTGTGATATGAAACACAGGTGCCATACTTTCTCTCTCTCTCTCTCTCTCTCTCTCTCTCTCTCTCTCTCTCTCTCTCTCTCTCTCTCTCTCTCTCTCTCTTTCTTTCTTTCTCTCTTTCTCCACACACTTACACACACGTGCGCGTTCATACACAGATATGTATGGATTTAAGAGAGAGAAGAACAACTAAAATGCAGAGTTACAGTGGCTGCCGTTGAAATATAAAATATTATATCCAATGACATACTGAGATGGGATATATTTTATAGAACATTTGGCTCTCGATCTGTGATGAGGTCAGCTTTGGTCGTCTTCTATTGGTTCTGCGTTCACCTTCAAAAGGATGTTTGGCACGCTATGTTGAAGTTTACAGCTAAGCGGCGACTGTTGCGCCTTAAGGCCAAAAATATTCCAATTCAGCAAATCCCTAATTAGTCGCTTTTGTGACATGTTTATTTGGAGGGGTGGAGGCTAGTGGGGGGGGGGGGGGTGCATACAGTCTCTTATCAAGAGATTTGTATAACGAACATTCAGTTTTACATACATTCTTACATTTACATTTGAAGAAACTAATTAAATAATACTCTGATTGAATTAAAGATTTCAAAATGAAATCGAGAACAAGTAACAATAATCCTCTCATTTCTCCATTACCCAATCAGGTTTATAAACTGCTTGGAAGTTTGTCTTCCCTGGATCTTGAGGATCTGATCAGCTGCCTTCAGCCCGCTCAGGAAAGCTCCATGGAAAGTTGATATGAAATCTATAGAGTATGCTTCACCAGCGAACAGCACCCGTGGATTCTATAAAAATTTGAAATCATCTCAGTATGTGAATTATTGAACATAACACACACGAGATACATACAGCTCATATATAGTCTCAGAAGACTTTACGCAGCGTCTACCAGAAAGAGTCCGTTTTAAAAGCCTTTGTCATGCTAGGATGCTAGATTTTATTTTTTATTTTATTTTTACCCTCATCTAACCGGGGTAAGTTTCGGACATCCTAAAGTTGAAGTTGTGTTGAACTTGTTAGAATTTGATCGTCTACTTGATGTCTTTCTAGAAAATTTGAAAACACCAACAGTGGTTGTTTATTTAGTGCTCGTAGAAAATAAAGAGATCTCATACACCGACTAGAATAAAAGGAATAGTACCCAAGGATTGTATAAGCAGACAACAAATCAAATGTGTTTGGCCATGTAACAAGACTGGCATCAGACAGGTCCCCGCAGAAAGCAATGTTATACAGATACAGCGGTAACAGATCCAGAGGCCGACTAGGCAGAACATGGACCGCAGAAGTATCAGACACTGAAGAGTACTATACACGAATCAAACAAAAGGGCCTTTTCCAGAGATTTATTCCTGTCCCAACGTCGCGAGGCATTGCACGTGCTCCCTTGTCTTCTGGTACCCAGTTTCTTCTTCTTCCTCGTCGTTATCATCGTCATCATCATCATATTCTTCTTCTTCGCCGTTATCGTTGTTTTCCAGTGGAATGTTCGCCATTTTCTAAACTCTGGCTTTCTTCTAGAATTTGTGTTTTGCATGCACATAGGTTTTACAAATTTGGCTTTTTTGTATGCAGACTGTTGGTTATTTACCTATCAGGCAGATGCACTCCGACTTTATAGAAATATTTCTACAGACAGACAGACAGACAGACAGACAGACAGACAGACAGACAGACAGACAGACAGACAGACAGACAGACAGACAGACAGACAGACAGACAGACAGACAGATAGATAGATAGATAGATAGATAGATAGATAGATAGATAGATAGATAGATAGATATATAGATAGATAGATAGATAGATAGATAGATAGATAGATAGATAGATAGATAGATAGATAGATAGATAGATAGATAGATAGATAGATAGATAGATAGATAGATAGATAGATAGATAGATAGATAGATAGATAGATAGATAGATAGATAGATAGATAGATAGATAGATAGATAGATAGATAGATAGATAGATAGATAGATAGATAGATAGATAGATAGATAGATAGATAGATAGATAGATAGATAGATAGATAGATAGATAGATAGATAGATAGAATAGATAGATAGATAGATAGATAGATAGATAGATAGATAGATAGATAGATAGATAGATAGATAGATAGATAGATAGATAGATAGATAGATAGATAGATAGATAGATAGATAGATAGATAGATAGATAGATAGATAGATAGATAGATAGATAGATAGATAGATAGATAGATAGATAGATAGAATAATTCAAATTGATTTTAACAAAGCAAAACAAACCAAAAAACTTAAACACATGATGACAGACATGGACCTAAGGAGAGAAAATATTCTCAGCACGAAAAAGCCTTCCAAGTAACTTTGAACGCAAACCTTGCGATTACCTCAGGGGATGGTAATGGCCTTCCCAGATGCAACAAATCTTCCTCACAAATATCGCATGTGGGATAACTGTACGTACCACGAATGAAGGGATTTGACAGCCATTTCGTTCTGAAATATGTTTGTCAATTTGTTGAATGTTTTACAATGAAAATACGCTTACCAATGTTTTACTTTGTGCATTATTCTTCCACTGATGGTCACTACCGAAATTATCCAGCTTGTTAAAACGTTTTTTGATTATAACTTAAACAAGCGTGGAGTGATCACCCTCGCCTGTCATAGTTCTCGGTGTATTTTCTTGTAGATCATTTAATCAGCCTTGGACTATCCTCCGAATAACGGTGCTAAATTATCGAGGCGGAAAATATTCCCTAACAGGGCCTCAGTCACGTGTCAATTGCGCACTTCTGGGGACAATAACGCCATCGCCGAGAGTATCCCCTAAACTAGATGGCTAGGACTCACGAGCAAAAAAAAAATGAAGGAAGCTGCAGGTGATGCGGTAGCTGCTGCTCGTGAGTCCCAGCCATCTAGTTTAACCCCAATCCACGTCGCGTGAGCGCCGGAAGCGCGAAATTTAAAATGACAGAAGTGCGCAATTGACACGTGACTAAGGCCCTGTTAGCTTATTATATTTTCCACCTCGATAATTTAGGACCGATATTCGGAGAATAGCCCAGCCTCGTATGTGACCGCTGCTTGTGATTTCTAGTTCAGATTAACATGTCTATATATTTGGTGTCTTTTTCTTCGTTCCAAACAGCTTTGTATTTTATATTCGGTCGCTACACCAACATTTTATCAATCTAGTTTAAATGCTAATCTGAAAATAAGAAAAGAAAAAAATTCCTTGACAAGGTAATGACGTAGTTGTGTGTGTGTGTGTGTGTGTGTGTGTGTGTGTACATGCATGCGTGAATGCCAACATTTGCTTCTTTATAAGTTCTGGCCAATTACGCTTTTATTACATGCATGTGTTTTACTGTGTGTGTATGTGTGTGGGTGTAGCAAAATCGTTAACAGGCGTAAGATTAACACTTTGTTTTTATAAACATTTTTGATCCAATCAGGGATGTGTTGTTTTTATTACTATCCTTATGTTAGCACGAATATTTGGAAACAAAATCTCAACGAAGACTCACCCACACTCGACTACAGGTTACCTGGAAACTGTCCTGTGGCGCCTCGCTTAAATGTCCTGTGACTCCCCTCTATAACTGTGCTATGGCGTCTTGCTAAAACTGTGCTGTGGCACCTCGCTATTACTGTCCTGTGGCGCCTCGCTAAAACTGTCATGGGCGCCTAGCTAAAATTGTCCTTTGGCGCCCCGCTATAACTATCATGTGGCGCTTCGCTAAAACTGTCCTATGGCGCCCCGCTATAACTATCCTGTGGCGCCCCGATATAACTGTCTTGTGGAGCCCTGTTATAACTGTGCTGTGGCACCCCGCTATAACTGTGCCATATGGTTATTCAATTAGGGGGGGGGGGGGGGGGGGGGGGGGGGGGGTGAATTTTTCACTCCTGTAGACGTAGATTTCACTGCGTGTGAGTGTTTGTCTGCGCTTGACTGTGTGTGCGGCGTGCTTGCTTGTGAGTGAATATGTGTGCCTATGTGTGCGTACGAAAAGCATGTTTCCCATGTTTACGAACGTGATTAAATACTGTACGGAGATTGCAGGTATAAAGACACAGGTGACTTCACAGTCTCTGAGACTCACCTGTAGATTTCTACAGGTTTGGGAATGTTTCCATACTCTCTAAGGAAGTGTTGCAGGAGTTCATGACAAACATCAATCACCTCATTGTCTTCCAGAGCCTCAACGATTTCAACCTAAACTCAGTTGACAAAAATACAACAGAACAAAATTAGCAAACACGTTGCAGCTTTTAGGTAGGTAGGCAAGTTGTACCCCACCAGGACATCACACAAGCGACAAACACCCGGTGACACAAAGTGTCACCATGCGGTTGAGAATCACCCGTGGAGAGGCTCTGGAAACCCCTTTTAGAAGTTATGCCATATATTAGACTCGCCTATATTTAGGGCCCCGGTAAAAGCTAGGGTGGGACTTCAAAATAATCAAAAATTGCATCCCACATGGCGACGACAGATACGGTTAGAAGCCTTTATGAATAGAATCACTTTGATACACTACACTGTATTCTAAAATGCAGCACAGAATGAAAGTGTTGTGAACGATGGATGTTTTCTTTTGATTCGTTTTCTCATGAAGACATTTGCATGGCTTTCTTCTGCTCAGCTGCAGATTTTGACATATTGTACAGGATTGTACAGGTTGCAGGTTGATCAGATTTGATTTGATTCAAGAACCGACATCACATAACTCGGGGTATTCCCATAAGCGCTCCGTCCCTATCTTCAGCAGCCAGCGAAGAGTTCCGATAATAATAGTGCCAGTAGCATTCTGATTAAACGTCCGTCTTGCCTTTTCTCTGAGCCTCGAGTATCTGCCAGAACCCTTCGTCACTTCCCCCTTATCCCCCCCCCCCCCCCCCCCCCTTGCATCAATCTCATCAGACTGCGGTGATCCATCTGCTCCTCCGAACTGTACACGCTCTCCCACCAGGCTGTGGCGGGTAAATTCGCTTTAATCTAGCGAATGCACTATGTGCAATCTACAGAAGGAATCGCAAATAGTGAATCATCATAAAGGTTTATTTTACCCCCAGCCTCGCTGGTTAAATGAGAGAATTTAGGGTTTGCCCGCATATGAATCCCTACTGTTAATAAACTGTATTCTTAAATGTATTAAAATATATTGGCTATTGCTCACCGACACAAATGATTACAGTTAAAATAACTCTATAACACTGGAAGAAACATTAAAACAATCATGTATTGAAAAAGTCAAACTAATAATTAAACTGGCTATGGAAATAAAATCCTTTTATATGAGAATAGTAGACAAATCTGCCCACTTAGCTGTAGCTCGGGTTCCTTTGGTCAGCTTCTAGCTTAGCCTCGTAGACTCGTCAGACAGGTCGAATCTTCTAGTCCAGTTTAGACAATAGGGCATCTGCAGCTACGCTGGGATTTACTTCTGGAACTCCACCTGGACCTAGAACAAAAGAACAGTCCCTATAGAAGCGGTTTGGAAAGTTCTCACTGGAGACAACAGTACCTCCAGTCTTCATATACTGTTACACCATACACATATATGGAGTAGGGTAATCACATGTGTTCACGTTCTTTACTGGTACAGAATGGACATGTATACAGAACATCAGTTTCTTTAATACTTTCAAGTACAAGAGTCCCACAATATGAAAGGACATTCATCAGTGCGAATTATTCTGATGTCTTTACACTAGTGAGGGTTTAACATGCTTACACACACAGTCAAATTTTACAATAGATTCTCATTTCAACCACATGGGTTAACATCACAAAGAATGAGAATCAGGGAGCGAGTTTATACGAACCGGAAACTCATAACAGGTGCGTTGGCCAGTTTGGAAATACATGGGGTTGGACACATCTCAATCAGTATAACTGGGTGCTGGGATAGATGTCTTAATACAATCATAGATGACAATGGGCTTTCCATCTGTCACAGTATTATTAACATAAAATATACAACACTAACTCCAGTTTAAATATGAATCCACACATGGGCTAAATCTTATTCAGTAGAGTTTAGAAGTTGTGAGGGGTGAAATATAATTATTAAAATTGTAAGGCCACCTGCCGTGGTACTGAAAATATATTCCTAGTAATGGGGAAATATATATACAACAGTAATTATTACAAGCATCGGCCATACACCTCTCTTCTTCTTCTCCGACAGTGTGAATATTAAATTCAACTACCCTGTGTTATTCACTTTTTCAAGCTCTTAAACCAGTCTCAGAATTATCTGACTAAATCTAAATTAAAGCAAGACAGTAATTTATCAAGCTAATATCACCATGAGGTCAAATCAACTTAGTTAGGATTAGGTATAATGAATATACACTTCATTCCTTTATTAATTGTCTTACCATGCTGGAAATCGGAACTGGCCGAGATTTCACATGAAGACATAAATTCCCACTTAATTAACATAATTATAATAATTAAAAATACCAATGCAGGTTTTTAGTATCAAATAAACATTATTTCAATCATCAAATAGAGCATATGTTTGCATACATGTATATACTAGATCATAAACGTGGTTAGCTAGAATAAAGCAAATTACAAGGATTTTCCCACCATGTGGTCATCAAATTTCAGAGTTCAACAGATAATATTAATTCAGAGGAAAAGCAGCAATAGATCAAATTAAAATAATACTGTTCACTTACCCCTAGTAGGGAATTTAAACAGACAATTAGACTACAGTACTGACTACCAACTTTAGTGTGTACTAATCAGTGCCAAGATTTGAAAAGGAAGTAGGGAATCCTAAAAAGGGGGAAGTAACTCTTAAGTTAATTCTCCTACTCGTCTTTCATATCTTTTAACTCTAAATTAATGAATTAATAACATTGCTATAATAAAGCAATAAGTTAAAGGTAAGAAAATTTATTAATATTGCAATACTTAAAAGGGAAGAAACAGCTGTCCAGACCAGCTCGTCACAAAGGCACTAACCACGTCTGCCTTATCATGCATAAGCATTCCACCAAGTTGTGCAGAACCAACCAGTCTGTCCGTCTGTTCATTTTCCAACACACCGGCATCTCCAGGTGGAGAAAAAATCCAGACAATACTCCTCACCCGCGAAGCATGCCACTCTGCACGAAGCATACCTGTTCTGATCTTCCTCAGCATGCTTTCTGGGTCAGTTACAATCACGATGTGTGTGTGTGTGTGTGTGTGTGAGTGTGTGTGTGTGATGTTCTCTAACTAGCGAATAGCTGCAGTGGCCGCCTCCAACTCCATTCTTAAGCTAGATGTTGTGTTATCATATGCTAGGCTCTCTTGCACCAAACGTCGACC